TCGCCGCGCCCAGCTGTCTGGAAGTTTTTCATTGTAATCTGTGGAGAGAGAAAAGCTTTTGTGGGCTTCCTTCATCTTCTCCTGTAGCAGCAGTGCTAACAGTTGATTTGTAAGGCCTCTTTTCAGCTCTTTGTCTGGGCTGATGTATTGCTTCCTAAGTCTAACATCTTTTCTACTATAAGTATGGACAAATACTGTTCAAAAAACCTACAAATATATAGGCATTGTCTTGCAAGCCGATTCATGATTGGCCATGATCTATATAAATTTAAAGCAGACTGTAGAATTCAAGAAAGATTAATTTTAATTCCCTTTTTTCCATTAGTGATCCTAAAATCGAGGATTTTAAAAAATCTTTTAAAAAGACTTTCTAAACCTTTTAACTTCAACCCTTTGATTAATCGCTTGGTTCCATGACTCTGCCAAGAGCAAACGCTACAGGCAGTGTTGTTGTCCAACAGCCAGTAGAGGGAGCGGCAGGCTTCTTCACTGCGGCTGGGCCTGGCTCCTCCTCTGGGAACTTGCAGCCCTTGTTATATTTGTTAGCACAACCACATCCAGTTATACTCTTGTAGTTATTTTTAAATGTACAATTAAATTATTGTTGACTCTAATCACCCTGTTGGACTATCAAATACTGGATCTTATTGATTCTTTCTATTTTTTCATAGTCATTAACCACGTGCACTTCCCCCTGCCTCGCCCACCCCACTGCCCGTCCCCGCCTCTGGTCTGCTACTATCTGGTCCTTTTCCTCTCTCTGTCTCCAGAAAGCACGGACTTCTTGGTTACAGCCTGTAGTGGTAGCTGAGATTGTGAGGCCTGGGTGAAGACGTCAGTAGGAGGGTCAGAGGATGAAAGTCAGCACCATGAGAGTGCCTAAACCTTGCTGAAGAAGAGAAAATCCAGGAGATGAAGAAGGGAGAGTTGGAAGGATCAGAAAAGAATTGAGAAAGGTGTCATGGAAGCCCTGAAGGCAGGCAGTTTCAAGGAGGGAATGATCAACAGTGTCACATGTCACCAACAGGATGGAGTAGGACCGAGGAGCAGCCACTATGTGTGGAGGACACCAGGCCCTTGAAGCAAGAACAGTTTTGGTGATCACTGGGGCAAGAGCTAGGGTGTGGGGAGTTGAGAAGCAAGGGGAGAAAGTAGACACAATGAAAGAGGCTTGGTTCTGAAGCCAGTGGGGAATGTTTGTGTCCCAACCCCCTTAACTGCCCCAATACCCCAGACTGGAGTGTGCAGTGTGTGGGGGCCTGCCGTGACCACAGCAGTGCTCAGCTCCTGGGATGTAGGACAGGGAACTTGCTTGGTGGTTCGACCTCGAGCTGGAGTTTTTCAGGGAGCGGTTGTGAATGTCGTTGCTGATCTTAATTCTGGTCATCTCATTACCAGATCCCCTGCAGCTTTTAGTCCTTGCAGTCCCTCTTCTCCCTCTTCACGTGGAGACCTCTCAGATGGGAACTCATCTCCTTTCCAATTGGCTGCTGCTTTCCCCTCACCATGGTCTCGGTGGAACATGAGACCCTTTGCTGGAGGTTTGGGCAGCAGTTTCTGAGGGTCTTTACTCTTCCCTCCTGGAATTTCAGCCTCTCCACATGTTTGTCTCCCCAGCTGGTGGCCATTCTCTACTTTCCTTCCAGACCCTCCCTACTTCGGCTGGAGTTGCTTTTTTACTTCTGTGTTATCAAGAGGCTGTTTCCTCCACAGTCATTCCTCAGTCCCGAGAGTCCAGTTGTCAGCACAGCTGTCATTCCACTGAACTGCACAGGCCACTGATGACCTCTTGGTTGGCAAATCCAGTGACTTCTACATTGACACAGTCTACCTGTCTTTCTCGCTCTGTCGCCCAGGCTGGAGTGCAGTGGTGTGATCATAGCTCACTGCAGCCTCAGACTCCTGGGCTCAAGCAATCCTGCGTCAGCCTCCCGAGTGGCTAGGACTACAGGTGTATGCCACCATGCTTGACTAATTGTTTTATTTTTATTTTTTGTAGAGACAGAGTCTCAGTTTGTTGCCCAGGCTGTTTTTGAACTCGTAGCCTCAAGTGATCCTCCTACTTTAGCCTCCCAAAGTGTTGGGATTACAGATGTGAGCCACCGCGTCTGGCTTCTGGCCCCTTAAATGGAGGCGCTTTATGGTGTTCTGTCCTGGTTCACTCGCTCCACAGTTGGTCTCTGGAGCATAATATCCACTCCATAGTTTCATGTAACTCCTTGCAAATAAAGCTAGTGCTAGTTTTTTTCCTTTAGTTCTAGACCAAACTAGACACACTTTTTGACAGAAGCCTCTTCAGAGTTATAAAGGTACTATAAACTCAAATTTCATTTTAAATAATGTATTTTTTTCTAAACAACCTAACCTTGACTCTCTCTATTCCCTCACTCCTCCTCCCCCACCCCACCCAATCTAGGCAGTTGTAAAGTACTGTTGCCTTTACCTAAGGGTGACGGGAAGCATTTCACATGTGCTTACTGGCATGCCTGTTGCTGCTGGCCAACTTTATAACTTCACTGTCTACCTCCATTTTTTGTGGGTCTTCCAGAATCGCTGGCAGCACCAGCCAGAGCATGCCCCTCTTCCTTGGTTGCTCTCCTGTACTGATCAAGTCACACCCAGCTTCTTGATAGAGCCCTTTTTGATCTTATCCCAAATGACTCTTTCACCCCATGTCTCACCCCTCTTTAGCTGTTTCCTAAAACTCCGGGAGCTTTCTTTCCTGTGGGCATGTCCTTGTGTTGTTCCTGCCCTGGCTGGCTGTCCCTCCCATCCCTTTTGTGTTGAAAAGCCATCAGGGTCTAGTGCAAGTGTCATCTCTGTGGAGTCTCCCTTCTTGAGTCTAGAGTAAATGTTTGGGGGATTACAAGCAGTAGAACTTGACTAGAGCTGTCCTAACAATGACTGCCATTTATGGAGAAATTATTGTGGGACAGATTGCATTATGACACTTTCCATCCATTATCACATGTACACTAGAAGCAGATGGCCAAGAACAGGAGCTTTTCTGCCATTTACTAGCTTTGTAACTGTGGACAAGTTAATTACTATCTCAGTGTCAGTGAAATCTGAGGATTCAATGTACTTCCACATGGAAAACAAGCAATAAATGGTAGCGGTGGCCTCTGGGAAGATCATCCCTCTTCATCCTCTCATAAGATAGTAAGTACTGTTATCGTTCCTATTTCATAGATGAGGAAACTGAGGCTCAGGGAGAGTGGGTAGTTGTTCTGCTTCCCCCAACACATGGCTGCAGGAGTCGTGGCTTCTTCATGTTTTCACTCCAGAAGGTCTTTAACGCAATAAATACTTACTGAGCTGATTGGAAAGATGGATCTGCAGCCCCAGAGTCAAATTGAGAGAGAAATATAGAAGTTGTCACCTGCACGGGGGTGGTCATTGCAGTTGTTTGATCTCCTCGAAGTTCTGTAGTCTTTCAGCGTCCACACGATTCAGCCCCCCTTTCAGCAATGAGCTGTGTCTGTCTTTGAGGCAGATGATCACTATATCTAACTGTCACTCAGATCTTTTGTTGTGAAAATTTGCATGTATTTGCCTTCTTTCTCCAGCTGGGTTAAGTGCTTTCAGGGCAGAGGGATTGTACCTTGTATTTCTGTGTATTAACTCCCACCTCTTTTTTTTTTTTTTTTTAGACGGGGTCTCACTCTGTCGCCCAGGCTGGAGTGCAGTGGCAGGATCTCAGCTCACTGCAAGCTCCACTTTCCGGGTTCATGCCATTCTCCTGCCTCAGCCTCCTGAGTAGCTGGGACTACAGGCACCCGCCACCTCGCCCGGCTAGTTTTTTGTATTTTTTAGTAGAGACGGGGTTTCACCGTGTTAGCCAGGATGGTCTCCATCTCCTGACCTTGTGATCCACCCGTCTCAGCCTCCCAAAGTGCTGGGATTACAGGCTTGAGCCACCGCGCCCGGCCAACTCCCACCTCTTTTAGTCCCTCTTTACTAAGATAATAGGTCAAATCTGGGAAATATTAATCTCAAAAAGGAATTCACCCATTTCTAAGAGATGACCACACAAGATGATTTTGTGTGTTTTAATTTTTTAGTTTTAGAGATAGGGTGTGGCTCTGGGACCCAGGCTGGAGTACAGGCTAAAGCGATCCTCCTGCCTCACCCCCTTGTCCTCTGCCTTCCGTAGCTGGGACTGCAGGTAGCTGGGACTACAGGCACAACCCACCATGCCCAGCTAATTTATTTTAATTTTTTGGTAAGGTCTTTTAATGTTGCCCAGGTTGATCGGGAATGCCTGGCCTCAAGGGATCCTCCCACTTGGCCTCCCAAAGTGCTGGGATTATAGGCATGAGCCACCACACCTGGCCCAAGGTGATTTTGTTAGTTGGTACTTTCTGTAATTTGGATGAAGAAAGCATTATTTTCTTCACATATTCCAGATAGAAATTACCATCCTGGGCCGGGCGCGGTGGCTCATGCCTATAATCCTACCACTTTGGGAGGTCAAGGTGAGTGGATCACTTGAGATCGGGAGTTCGAGACCAGCCTGGCCAACATGATGAAACCCCGTCTCTACTAAAAACATACAAAAAATTAACTGGGCATGGTTGTGGGCACCTGTGATCCCAGTTACTTGGGAGGCTGAGGCAGGAGAATCGCCTGAACCCTGGAAGTGGAGGCTACAGTGAGTCAAGATCGTGCCACTGCAAACCAGCCTGGGCAATAAGAGCGAAACTCCATCTCAAAAAAAAAAAGGAAAAAGAAAATGACCCTCCTGTTTTTAAAATGGTACATGCACTGCTGCTTTGTTTCCTACAATCACACCTCTGATACCCATTCGTACCCTGAGCTGGGAGCCACTCACACACACGCTCCTATTCCCATTCTCTCGGTTTACAGTTGAAGGAACTGAGAGCCACACTCCAGTGGTTTTCCCATTTTTTATCTGACAAAGTATTCTCTGTGCAGCTCAGTCAGGACTCAGGACTTAGGGCTATGCGAGTTCTCAACGCTGTACTTTCCCTCCACAGAGCTGAGAAGCTCCAGCTGCTGAACCACCGGCCTGTGACCGCCGTGGAGATCCAGCTGGTGAGCCAAGGGCGCCTGCGCTGGGGAGGCTGCTGTGGGTCTGAGATGTAGAAAGGCTGTGGTGGACAAGCTAGGAACTGTTGTTTTTTTTTGAAGAAGCTGCCCAACCACCCCATTTTTTAAGGAAAAGGAGACCTTGCCAGTTTGATCCTAGTTAATGTGGACTTAGGGACCGTAAAACACTGGAGGAGATTTCATTCCTCCCCTAGGATTTCGGCTGATGACTTGGCGGCTGTCTGTCTCCCCTGATGTCCAGGCCATTCTGGCCGTTGCTTCCCTGTAGGAGTTGTTGCCAACCAGATGTTGCATAAAAACATGAAACTCAGCATGTCTCTGGTGAACATTCTCTGCCCCCACGCCCACCCTTCACCCCACTCTTGCTTCCTCTCCTTCTGGGTGAGGGGAGCATGTGTGCGCTGTCCCACCGGCTCCCTTCCTTGCTCATCTCCTGGCCTAGCCTCCCATGCTGGAAACCTGCAAGCCATTCTCTTCCTTTCATCTCATAGTCACAGAGTCCCCAAGTTCTGTTGCTTTTGTCTTCTGTTCTTGCTTCTCTCCCTCCTGTACTGCGTTGATTTCTGCATTATGTCTCTACACGGCTCTTGTGGTTGTCCCCTCCCCATTCTCCCTGGCTCCCCAAGTCCATCTCCCACATCACCGTCAGAGATCACATCTAAAATGATGAATGTGATCCCGTTTCCCTGCATGAAACCATTTATTTAGTGCAGCCTCATCACTTGCGGAGTCTGCTTTGCACTGAGAGCATAGGCTTTGGAACAGGAGGAGGCAGCCAGAGTAGAGGGCCTGCGATGGGGTATTGGGCCTGGGAAATGATCCAGGGAGATACCCAGGCCACCACTGGGCACGTTGTGGCCACTGCCTTCTTATTACAGGGCAGAGAGCATCGGTACGTGACAAGTGTCAAGCAGGCCATCCAACTGCCAGTTAAAAAAAAAAAAAAAAAAAGCTGTTCATTGTCTTTCTAGGATTGTTTTTGTCCTTCAGAATGTACCCAAAATTAAATTAGAACAGTTCCTTCCATGAAGGGTGCCTTTCTCTGGGAACCCGCCTGTAGCCTAAATAGAAACCCCTTTCTCATGTGTCCTGATTATTTTCATGCTTTACGCTGTGTTGGAGTTTCAACTTAGAGCTTAGAGGAGAGAAAAAACAAACAGAACAGCAAGAAACGAATCCCTGTCCCTCTGGGTTAAAGATCACATGTCATGTCTCCTCCAGCTTTAATCAGCAACATATGTTACCCATGGCTTAATGACAGGCAGAGAGAAGAGATGAGGATTAGCGTGACCTCAGCCAGAGCCTGTGGAAAGTGCTATCATTACTTGGGGGAAAATTCGCTGCTATTGAGAATGCCTGGGGTGGGCTGGGCGCAGTGGCTCATGCCTGTAATGCCAGCACTTTGGGAGGCCAAGGTGGGTGGGTCACCTGAGGTCGGGAGTTCAAAACCAGCCTGGCTCAAGTGGTGAAACCCCATCTCTACTAAAAGTACAAAAATTAGCTGGGCATGGTGGCACACACCTGTAATCCCAGCTACTCGGGAGACTGAGGCAGAATCACTTGAACCCGGGAGGCCAAGGTTGCAGTGAGCTGAGATCGCACCACTGTACTCCAGCCTGGGTGACAGAGTGAGACTCCATCTCAAAAAAAAGAGAGTGCGTGGGGTGTGCCAGACCTTGGTCCTGGCTCCTGTGATTGTCTGTCACTTTGAATGCCCTCCCCACAGTCTTGGAAGGGGGCAAGTGTCCTCTCCATTTTAGCCCAGAGGGCTGGTGAGTGGCTGATTGAGACCTTCTGATTCAGAAGCTTTACTTTGCTCCTCCAAGCTAGGTACTCGTGCTTGATAAGACGAAAGATGTGTGTGACATCTCCTAAGATGGTTTCCTTCTCCTTTCTACAAAGTATGTAGGCCTTGGTAGAAACTGCTGTTTCTCAGCAGTTGAACCATTTTAAACCCAGATTCTTCCCACTCTGGAATTTGGCTACAAAAGGTAGCAAATTGTTTACCAAGGTTTGTAGCAGTATCTCTTCTCACCAGAGAGTGAATAAGAAATGAAAGCTTTGACTGAACATGGTGGCTCACGCCTGTGATCCCAGCACTTTGGGAGGCCAAGGTGGGAGCATTGCTTGAGACCAGGAATTCAAAACCAGCCTGGGCAACATAGTAAGGCCCCATCTCTACGAAAAGTTAAAAAAAATTAGCCAGGTGTGGTGGCGCACACCTGTGGTCCCAGCTATTCAGGAGACTAAGGTGAGAGGATTGCTTGAGCCCAGAATTTGAAGGCTGCAATTAGCTATGATAGTGCCACTGTACTCCAGCCTGGGTGACCGAGCAAGACCCTGTCTTTAAAAAAAAAAAAAGCAAATGGCCAGGCACAGTGGCTCACACCTGTAATCCCAGTACTTTGGGAGGCCGAGGTGGGTGGATCACCTGAGGTCAGGAGTTTGTGACCAGCTTGGCCAACATGGCCCCGTCTCTACTAAATACACAAAAATGAACTGGGTGTGGTGGCATGAGCCTGTAATCCCAGCTACTCGGGAGGCTGAGGCAGAGAATCGCTTGAACCTGGGAGGTGGCAGTTGTAGTGAGCCGAGATTGCGCTACTGTGCTCCAACCTGGGTGACAAGAGCGAAACTCCATCTCAAGAAAACAAAAAGAAATAAAGGTTTCACTTACAGTGGAAAGCGCAAAGGACTTGAGTGAGAAGTTCCCTATATCAACACTAGAGCCATTTTTTCTCCCTGGGTCCAGAAAACAGTCCCAGTGTCCGACATTTATTACCATTCACTTGGGAGCCAGGTGTCTTTTGGAGGCTGAAACCTCACCTCTTCAGTTACGCCTGAGCCGTGATTTGCCGTGGCCCTCTGATGACTGCCTGCTGACTCAGAGGCTCAGTGAGGAAATGAGGTGGCCACCCGGCTTAGGACTTGTCGTGCCCAGTTGTGTATTGACTTGGAATGATTTGTGAGCCCTCTGGGCTAAGGTCAGTGAATCCTGTGACCTCACAGGCCACTGTCCTGAACAGCACTGCCATCTAGGCCTGTTAGTAATTTCGTGATTATGAAGTCTGGACTCATATAGAGTGTTATTGCTTGTAAAACACTGTTACATATGTTCTCCTTTTGTCCTTGCTGTAGGCGTTACTTTCATTTTACATTAGAGAAAATTGAAATTTAGAAAGCCAGGTTTAGTTAACTGTTCTGGATCAAATATTTAATAGTGTACGTTGTTGCTCTCAGATCTTTGACTCATTTTGAGGAAAGTAGGACATTAGGTTTGGCAACTTCGAGTTGCCATTTTTGGAGATCAGCAACCCAGTTTGATGCTCCTGGGACTGAGATGATGAAAGTTTATCATTTGTGTTAACTCAGCTGTCGATACTTCAGACTTTTACGTTTATTTGTCCTTATGTTCTGAACTACCTGAAATGATTGGTATCTGAGAACCTTGAGATGGTGCTTTGAACTTTACTCTTGGAATGTTTCTCCTCTGTTGGAAAGAAAAGGTGAAGGGTCAGGCACAGTGATTCATGCCTGTAATCCCAGCACTTTGGCAGGCTAATGTGGGAGGATCGCTTGAGCCCAGGAGTTCAAGACCAGCCTGGGCAACCCCATCTCTACAAAAAATAATAAAAAATAATTAGCTGGACATGGTGCCACATAGCTATAGTCCCAGCTACTCAGGAGGCTGAGGCAGGAGGATTGCTTGAGCCCAGGAGTTTGAGGCTGCAGTGACGATTGCGCCAGTATGCTACAGCCTGAGTGACAGAGTAAGACCCACTCTCTTTGGGAAAAGAAAAGGCGGGGGTGAGGGATAATGTAGGCATTGTCATTGACGCTAGTGATCCAAGAGGTGCTAGTGTTTTATTTCTGAAAGTTTCTTTTTGTTTATATTTCATTTAGTTTAATGCAGTGTAGGGTTTCTTCCTGTGACTGGGAACCTTAGGTTGAAAAACAAAAGGTCCTGACTATAATTAACCCTGAGGATTGGATGTTGATAAAAGGTTCGGCTGTTAGTGAATTTAGCAAAGTTTTTTTCTGCACATTCTTTCCTCAAACGGAGATCATCTTTTCTCTGGATTAAATAACCAAATCTTGGCTATTTTCCTCCTTTCTCTGCTTTATTCTTTGGGGGCAGTACATGTTAGATTACTGCTTTTTATAGACTGTAACTTTGCATGTCTAATTTTAAACATGGCTTTTTGGCCGGGCATGGTGTCTAACTCCTATAATCCCAGCACTTTGGGAGGCCGAGGCTAGTGGATCGCCTGAGGTCGGGAGTTCAAGACCAGACTAACCAACATGGAGAAACCCTGTCTCTACTAAAAATACAAAACTATCCGGGCGTGGTGGTGCATGCCTGTAATTCCAGCTACTATGGAGCCGAGATCACCCCATTGCACTCCAGCCTGGGCAACAAGAGTTAAACTGTCTCAAAAAAAAAAGGGGGGGCGGGGGTTGAAGATTGTTTCTTTCTCCCAAGAGAATTTACATTTTCCTGAGCTATGGAATCTTTAGAAAATGGTCATTTTATTTCACAGCGTCATAGGGAGTAGTCCCCATTGATTCGCTCAGGATCCCCCCGCCCCATCCTGGGACACCAGAATTATTATCTAGTTGCAGAAACACTTTTGGGCTGAAGTGAGTGGAGAGACCAGGGTTTTGCCAGGAGTTCGTGGTGTGACCTTGGGCATGTCACATGACTTCCTGAACTGTGCTGTTGTCTGTAAAGTGAGGTGGTCAGACTGGGATCCTCTCCAGGATTGCAGACCTGTCCTATTACCTTGTTTTACTTCAGTCTGCCAGGATTTCTTTCTGGAACTCCCTGTGGTTCCATTTGCCGAATTTCAGAGATTGCTGTGGGGAATGCTGTGGAATAGGACCTGGCCACCTTGAGCTGAGAAAGGTGTTTGTGATCGATGGTTGATGCCACCAAGCAAACAGGGTTAAGTAACTTGACTGCCTGCATGCTGCTTTTAAAAAGGCAGCTGACGACCTAATTCTGCTTAGAATTAGGGGCTTAGGCTGTGGGTATCATCTCTAGATTCAGATTTCTGGGACCACATCAGAAACCAGGTTTTGCGTGGACCTTTGATGGGCAGTGTGGTGTGGAGTGTGGGAGACTGTGGGTTTTAGACTGGGCAGGCCTGGCTGGGGATTCCAGTTCTACCTCTTGGCAGCATTGCTGAGAGGATGAAAGGAAATGCTGGACGGGAAGTGCAAGATGCAGCTCCAGGCACACGGGAGGCCTCCCCGCAGGGCTGTTGCTAGTGGGAGTGAGGATTAGAAGAAGGCTCCAGCCGGGCGCGGTGGCTCAAGCCTGTAATCCCAGCACTTTGGGAGGCCGAGACGGGCGGATCACGAGGTCAGGAGATCGAGACCATCCTGGCTAACACAGTGAAACCCCGTCTCTACTAAAAAAATATAAAAAATTAGCCGGGCGTGGCGGCGGACGCTTGTAGTCCCAGCTATTCCAGAGGCTGAGGCAGGAGAATGGTGTGAACCCGGGAGGCGGAGCTTGCAGTGAGCTGAGATCCAGCCACTGCACTCCAGCCTGGGCGACAAAGCGAGACTCTGTCTCAAAAAAAAAAAAAAAGAAGGCTCCAAACCATTTGGCACACAGTGGGCATCATCAACTATGTTGATGTTCATTAAATTACAGCTGTGTGCCGGGCACGGTGGCTCACACTGTAATCCCAGCATTTTGGGAGGCCAAGGCGGGTGGATCACGAGGTCAAGATATTGAGACCATCCTGGCCAACATGGTGAAACCCCGTCTCTACTAAAAATACAAACAGTTAACTGGGCGTGGTGGCTCACGCCTGTAGTCCCAGCTACTGGGAAGACTGAGGCTGGAGAATTGCTGGAACCCGAGAGGCGGAGGTTGCAGTGAGCCAAGATCGCGCCACTGCACTCCAGCCTGGCACAGAGCAAGACTCCATCCCAAAAAAAAAAAAAAAAAAAATTACGGATGTGCTTGTGAAATATAAAAGTACATAAAGTGCCATATAACTTCTCAGAGATGCATATGCAACCTATTGACTTCTCTCTCTGCGTGTCGCTTGTTGTACCACTTTTATCGTTTTTTTTTTTTTTTTTTTTTTTTTTGAGAGTTGATCTTGCTCTGTCACCCAGGTTGGAGTGTTTGGCTCAACCTGGGCTCAAGTGATCCTCCTACTTCAGACCCCCGAGTAGCTGGGACTACTGGCACACACCACCATGCCTGGCTGATTATTATTTTTTTTTTTTTTAAGAGATGGGGTTCCTCTATGCTGCCCAGGCCGGGGGTTTTCCTTTTCTTTAAAGAAAAATGCTATCCTACAACTCAGTTTTTACTGACCCATTTTGATCAGTCGCATTGGCTCAGTCCAGGATGTGAGTTGGCTCCACCCTTCCATCTGGAAGATGGAGAGGACTCACGAGGACCCAGGCCGTGAGATCTGTGTGCCAGGAGGCCGGGCTGAGACTGTGAGCACAGTGGGCAGGGCTGCCCAGGACTGTGAGTTTCATTTGTAACCCTGGAGGATTTTCTTTCCTTCTGCAGATGGTGGAAGAGAGTGAAGAGCGGCTCACGGAGGAGCAGATTGAAGCTCTTCTCCACACTGTCACCAGCATTCTGCCTGCAGGGCCAGAGGCTGAGCAGAAGAAGAAGACCAACAGCGACGTGGCAATGGACGAAGAGGACCCAGCGTAGAAGAGCACAGCTGGCCCTGGCATTTCATGAAGTCAGAAGGCCCAGCAGCCGTTTCCTGGATGTTGAGAGGATTGTTTATTTGATTATACCCTCTATCCCGGCAGGCCTGGCTGGCTTCGTGGTTAGTTGGGTACATCACAAAAATAAGCTAAAAAGAAATATTTGTGCCTTGGGGAGAAGAAACATGGTGAAGACAGGCTGAGGTTGTCAGGGCAGAGAGCTGAAGGTGGGGACAGTGACCGTGGACCCCTCTGTGCTTGAAAGATTTCCTCCACAGCCTTTGCCCCAGTTGTGGGGAGGTCTCTATACACAGCGGGGAAAATGCTTGTGTGTTCTTTGGTGGGCCATGTCCTAATTAGTTTCATCTGCTTCCCTGGGAACTTACTAAACAGGGGCTCAGAGCACTGTTGGGAATCTGGTTAGAACCCCAGAGAGTTACTCTTAAGTTAAAATGAGTCACTGACCTTGGCTCATCTTAGAGGAATTTCCTCGAGAACAACAGAGATAAGAAAAGAACCGGCCTGGCCAATCCTTCAACAGCTCTAGAGCCCCTTTTCTCTGCTGGCAGGGGCTTTGTTTACCAGCTCACTGTTTAGGCTAAATGTTAGGGACCAGATCACTGCAGTTGAAAACAGGCACTCCAGGCTTAGTGACAGTGGCAGCAGAAACAGTGTTGGCTGCCTTCCTGACCACCCCACTTTCCTGCCCTGAGACAGCAGCCCAGGGCAGGTGCTTCATATTGAGACCAGGTGAGCCTCATTTGCACAACAGTCAAATTGTTTGCTCCTTTAAAAAGGACACAATTAGCCTGGCCCGGTGGCTTATGCTTATAATCACAGCACTTTGGGAGGCCAAGGCAGGAGGATCACCTGAGGTCAGGAGTTTGAGACCAGCCTGACCAACATGGAGAAACCCTATCTCTACTAAAAAAAAAAAGTACAAAATTAGCTGGGCATGATGGTGCATGCCTGTAATCGCAGCTATTCGGGAGGCAGAGGCAGGAGAATCACTTGAACCCGGGAGGCAGAGGTTGCAGTGAGCTGAGATTGCACTATTGCACTCCAGCCTGGGCAACAAGAGGGAAACTTCATCTCAAAAAAAAATAAGTAAGATTATTACCATGTGAAAACTTTTTTAATATTCAGGAATTCAGAATTTGGAAAGTGTAGTTGCCCCAGGCATGTGGTTGTTGCCTTAGGTCCTGCGAATATTGCTGAAAATTGGATTTTCCACATTCACTGTCTTCCCTGTTTTAGGGAAGAAAATGATCGTAGACATTCGATTTTCCAAATTGGTAGTCTTTCATTTTCAATGCTAATGGGATTACTTCTCTTCCAACCCTCCTGCCCATCCATCCATCCCACTCCCCAGGCAATTGATTGCAGTTCCGTGCATCTTAACCTTACCATCTGAGATTCAGCTGAAATCTGTTTATAGGCAACATTGAAAGTACCAGATGAGGGTCAGGTGTGGTGGCCCACACCTGTAATCCCCAGCACTTTGGGAGGTGGAGGCAGGCGGATCATGAGGTCAGGAGTTCAAGACCAGCCTGGCCAACATAGTGAAACCCCTTCGCTACTAAAGATATAAAAAAATTAGCCGAGTGTGGTGGTGCATGCCTGTGATCCCAGCTACTCAGGAGGCTGAGGCAGGGGAATTGCTTGAACCCGGGAGGCAGAGGTTGTAGTGAGCCAAGATCGCACATTGCACTCCAGCCTGGCCAACAGGGCGAGACTCCATCTCAAAAAAATGAAAGTACCAGATTGTACTTGTAAATCTATCTAGGGTATTGGGAATTTTACTGGGAGCTGTTGATTTATTTCTCAGGGCATATGTGTGCTGTGTGCCGATCTGTCTCATTATTGTCTTTTTTTTTTTTTTTTTTTTTTGAGACAGTCTCGCTGTATCGCCCAGGAGTGCAGTGGCATGATCTCAGCTCACTGCAACCTCTCCCTCCCAGATTCAAGCGATTCTGGTGCCTCAGCCTTCTGAGTAGCTGGGACTACAGGCATGCGCCACTATACCCTGCTAATATCTATATTTTTTAGTAGAGATAGGGTTTTGCCATATTGGTCAGGCTGGTCGTAATGTCTCTTTTTAACACTGAATATGTTAGGTGGTTTTTCTTGATGGATTTAGGGTTAACCTAGTTAATAATAAATTGTTTCCAGGTAATTAACAAGTTTTGTCATCTTATAAATCTAAAGAGTTAATATTGTCATGGATACAAATAAAGTGAAATCTGACTGAAGCTAAAATGTGTGATTTTTTTCTTAAAAAACTGACTTTATTTAGATCTACATTTTTAATTGGATTTCAAGAAAAGTTTAAGTTTCTATATTTGAGACCTGAATTTAGCCTCAGTTTTTTGTTAAACCAGGTTCTGGAAGACTTAATTTTATAAGAAATGCACATATATTCCGTGTAATTTTCCTACCACATTAATAGTAAATGTTTCAGAAATAAAAATTGACCAGGCTCAGTGGCTCACGCCTGTAATCCCAGCACTTTGGGAGGCCAAGAGGGGTGGATCACGAGGTCAGGAATTCAAGACCAGCGTGGCCAACATGGCGAAACCCCGTCTCTACTAAAAATGCAAAAATTAGCCGGGCGTGGTGGCAGGTGCCTGTAATCCCAGCTACTTGGGAGGTTGAGGCAGGAGAATTGCTTGAATCAGGGAGGCGGAGGTTTCAGTGAGCCAAGATCGTGCTACTGTACTCCAGCCTGGGTAGCACAGTGAGACTCCGTCTCAAAAAAAAAAAAATTAAAACAACTGAATTCATGGAGGTAGAGATTTGAAGAATGGTTATCAGAGGCTAGAAAGGGTAGTGGGGGTTGGGGGGGATGGCTAATGGATACAACAATATAATTAGAAGGAATAAGATCTAGTATTTGATAGCACAACAGGGTGACTACAATCAACAATGATTTATTGTACTTTGTTTTTGTTTGTTTTTGAGACGATCTCATTCTGTCACCCAGGTTGGAGTGCAGTGGCAAAGTCTCAGCTCATGGCAGCCTCCACCTGGGCTCAAGCAATCCTCCCACCTCAGCCTCCTGAGTAGCTGGGACCACAGGTGTGCGCCACCACACCAGGCTAATTTTTTGTATTTTTAGTAGAGACGGGGTTTTATCTCATTGCCCAAGCTGGTCTCAAACTCCTGAGCACAAGCAGTACGCTTGCCTTGGCCACCCAAAGTGCTGGGATTACATGCGTGAGCTACTGTGCCCAGCCTCAAATTTAAAAATAAAGAGCCTAATTGCATTGTTTGTAACACAAAGAATAAATGCTTGAGGGGATGGATACCCCCTTTACTCTGTGATTACTATGCATTGCATGCCTGTGTCAAAGTATCCCGTAAATATATACACCTACTATCTACCCACAAAAATTAAAAAAAAAAAAATGGCCAGGCATGGTTGCTGATGCCTGTAATCCCAGAACTTTGGGAGGACGAGCTGGGTGGATCACCTGAGGTCAGGAGTTCGAGACCAGCCAGGCGAACATGGTGAAACCCCATCTCTGCTAAAAATACAAAAATTATCCAGGTGTGGTGGTGGGCGCCTGTAGTCCCAGCTACTCAGAAGGCTGAGGCGCAAGAATCACTTGAACCCGGGTGGCGGAGGTTGCAGTGAATTGAAATAGTGCAACTGCACTCCAGCCTGGGTGACAAAGTGAGACTGTGTCTCAAAATATTAAAATTAAAAAATTTAAAAGTAAGAATAACTTAAAGTATAATTAGATTTTTTTGTTTGTTTATTTGTTTTTGTTTTTGAGACCGAGTCTCGCTCTGTCACCCAGGCTGGACTGTAGTGGTACCATCTCAGCTCTCTGCAACCTCTGCTCCCAGGTT